GTCCCCAGACTCTGCGTCCTCTACAGAAGACGTGTCAGTGGGTTTAAGGAGGTCTTGGCTCCAAAGTCCCACAGGCTAACCAAGCCTGATGTCTCCCTTTATCTCTCGTGTCCTGACCTCAATGTACATTTCTGTAGGACTCAGACAATCACTGTGCACCAACGTCTCCCACCTGACGGAGTTTGATCAGTTCTACAAAGCAGAACGAGAGAATCTGCCCAAAATTAGATGCATCAAGCTTGTAGAGTCATGCACGAAAAGAACTGAGGCTGCAAAAGCTGCATTAACACAGGCTGTGGATACTTATATACATATGAAGATTTCTAGACTTAATATATTTTGGAACAGGGCTGTAACAGGACAAAATGTGGAACAAAAGCTTCCTGGAGCCACTGAATGAAGATGCAAACACCCTTGGATATTTAACAATGACTGACGTTGAGCACACATGAGGGAGTGAGACTATTTCTTTTAACGTTTGACACACGGTTCATCATTCGCCCACCTTGACTGCTCAGACACATTTGGTGTGATCATGGCAACTATGTGGCGAGTTGTTCCATGCCGCCGCAGACTTCTGGCCACGACAGTGGCGCCCATGCAGTAAGAGTCTGTGGTGGCGAGGGTCACAAAAGCCTCAGCAGCTGGAGAAAGAACAGAAAGAGGCCGTCAGGCTGACGTGTGTTTAATCTTTGTTTCTTTGTTGCAGCAGGAAAAGTAACCACTGCATGGTTTGACTTCTACACGAGGTCCTGATACGCTGTTCATACTGAGAGTTGAGTAACAGCGAGCATTTCACAAGCGATATCAGTAAAGGCATGTTAGAGAAAAAAAGACTACTTGTAGTATTTAAAATGTTTCAGGATCTTTGTGGAACAAGCAGCTATTTTAAATAAAGAATACAACTCAGAAAGCCACTATGGACAGATCCAGGCCTGCCCTGCTCCAAAGCCACGCACTCCTCCCCAGACACTGTTTAATGAGACATTAAGGAGCCTGTGATAGGTTAACATCAAGCAGGTGCACTTCTAGTAAGACCAACTGACTAGTTTTGGTCATCCTCAGTGGAAAATATGTTGAGGTTCAGACTCTGAAACCTGAAAAATGTTATTTGACAGATTTCTCTGTAAACAGTCGTAACATGTTCACTGCACTACGTTTTACAAGTTTTGGGTTTTTTTGTTTTGGTTTGTTTGTTTTTCCATAACTTGTGTATCTGCAAATATACAC